CACGATGACGGATGCGTAGTCCGAAGTGCGGTTACCCTGGGGACACGGCGTCAGCATCGTTTGCACGACGTCGTTTCGCTCGCTGAACATGGTAAGACGACTGCGGGGGCTGGCTCGCTTGGGGGATGTGTTTTGATAGCTCCCACGGCCAGCATTGACGTTTCGTCGATGGAACCGCTGCTCTCTTCTGCAGTCTTCAGTGTCAAAAGACTCGTAGAATTCTTGAAGCTTCGTTGATAAGCTTGTCAGGGGTGTCGGAACTCTTCTTCCAGTTTTGGAATGTTCTATTTCGTCGCAGAAACATACCTAAGCGAGAAGTTGAGAAATCAATGCTTCACTCGAATAGAATTAGATAAATCAAAACGTTCGATCCGGGCTCGGCTGACGTTAATGGTTTCTTTCGTGATAACGTTGCGATTGGTGTTGAGTGTGTGTACGTGTGTGTGTTAACCGTGTTGTGTATCCGTGCTCGCGACTGTGGAGAGGCCAGCAACCATATGCAACCCTCTCGACTATGTACTTTTTAAATAGAATCTGCACGATGTTTGTCACCCTGTACCAATGTTCGTTCTCTTATTCGCCCTTACTCCAATTTAGGAAAATATTATTTACTTCTAGTTACTGACTGGTGTGCACTTGATAAGTGTTGTGTAACGATGCGGAATAAAGTAATTTACAAAGAACGCCTAAGTGGTTTGTCAATTTTAAAGCCACTGTTCGTACGCACAAAATCTTCACCAGACTGTGGTTTAGGGGTTAGTTTTGGGCTATGATTATTTTAAGAAATTGATGCTCCTATGATTTGTTCATCTCTTTCATGACGATCCATCTTAGGCTTAATTATGTACAAATGTGTGGTTTGAATAGATTCATTCGTGAGATCTTTTTTTTATACGTTGGGAGTTTTGCCCTGTTGTACGTTACGCTCCGTGCGTCACACACTTTCAATTGAGCCGCCGATAAAACCGATCGATTAATTTCGCTATCGCGAACGCGGATTTCTTTGCAAAATCGACCGACGCACCACCTCCACATTACATGCCTCGTAACAGGTGGTACGTCTCCACAGACACGGTTAAGGAAAAGTGCAGCGGGAACGGTGGTGTCGTTTGTTGCTAAAAGCCTGGAACGAGCTCTTTAATATCGTAAGTGTGCTGCCTCCCACCTGAGAAATTAATACTTCAAAAGGAGCCGGTCCAATGCACCGTGAACGATTTAATACCGTCATTGTCGTCTTCGAAACGGAGCATCTGTTACAAAATGCACGGCTTCGCAACAGTGCAATCGCTAATACGAGTAGTGTACATCAGTGTCTCTCAACCTTTCTCTGGACTTCTTAAATTTATTTATCTTTGTGTGCTTCTTCTTATTCACGATAGTCTGTATGTATGATTCGAACGAAGATGGAGTGAATGGATCGTTTTATAATTATTCCTTATCGACTTGTGAAACAGAAATATTCCAAGACGCAAACAATGAAACTTAGAACAGTTTCTATAGATAGACCTTCTACGTTCGATTTCCACGTATAGTCCTCTAAATATTAAACCAAACTTCACCAATTTCGTGTACTACTAATCTCGCGTTAATGTAGAAGCTGGTAACAGAGTAAAATTTCATTAAAACTCTGTCATCTTGTTTAGATAAACATATTATACTTGTGCTTCAAAAATTACTATATAAACGTGAAATTAATTCCATTCCATTTTACACCAATATTTAAATACACAACAAGTCTGGAGAAGTTAACTTACATGTGACTGTGTAGATAAAAATAAACCTTCGCAAGATAACTGAAAATGTTTATATTCAAGTACTTACGTAAAAATTTCTTCTATAGCTTGAGAATGGAAACTATAGCCGTTGAGATATGATGCTAGCGTTATTATTTTTGAATGTAAATGCCTGTACATAAATATTTATAACACACTTGGAGAGGTTTGTCTCTCGCATCAACGCATTTACATGTAAGTTGAATCTCCAGTGACCAATATGTTCGTCCACGATGCCAGAATCTATAATTGCAATCTGTTTCATAGCCGTAGTCGTCGCTAAATAAACATGGAAGACGAAAATAAGAGAGATAAAATTGTTCTTCAGAGCAATAAACAAAGGGTAACTTTATTAATATTGCGAACGACGGCGTTTCGTCCAATTGAATTCTGGTCCTATTTAGGTCAAGCTTAAATACTTCGAAATCAACGAATAATACCAGAAATTTAAAGAAAAAAGGAATTTCATAAATATTATTACTTACAATAGAATACTCCAGTGCACCGGCACAAAAGCATTGAATTTATGAACACGATTAAATTTATGATAAGCGTGGTTTACGCATCTCTATGCTTATGGATTATTAATAAACGTGGAATATAAATTTTAATGCGATACCAGGATCGGAATTGCCATGTGTTCGCCATCGTATTATACACGGTGAACCACATGAACTGTCCAACCTTATTGTTAGTTTTTGTAAACGACCAAAATTTGTACGTTAAAATATGGATGGGCTGTAATTTATTTTTTAATGGAAGAAATAACAATGCCGTTGAGATAGAGACACTCTCTCCGTGACCAGGGTTCTCATTTTTTAGACGAACATTCGCGATTTACCTTCCACCGACCAACGCAGCGCTCGGGGTTTCAGAAACGCGATAAAAATGCTCCCCGCAAGGAAGAAGCTTCCCAACGCGCAACGGTCGAGCACAACTTCGAGAAAATGAACGCGACGGCGACGGATGATGAATCACGAAAACGGTTGAAAGGCGGCCGCACGCAGTACAACAAGAGGCAGGAGAGGTGAAAGTGACGATGAAGAAGAAAGAGTGGCGTTCCTAATTGGAGAATGAGCGGATTTTTCAACTCCCTCAAAAACTTCGCGTCAGGAGCCGCGTACGCCGGCAGCTCTGCCTCCAAGTACGAAGAACTGGAAGGTGAACAATTCTTTTACAATGCACGTGGAACGTTGCCTGCTCGGATCGTCGTTCGATTCTCTTTCGTTTGCACGAAATTATTTGCCACGTTCTTTATTGTTTCCTGGGAGCAATTCAGCTGATCGTTTTTGTGCTCGATGTGTACGTCTTCATGCTTGAGAGGCTTCACACAACCCTCTAATTTCCAGCACGAATTGTAATTCGACGAGAACGATTTTGGTAACTCATATATATATATTTGTGATGTTTGAAAAAACATATGAACGCTGTAAGGTTTGAATTTTTTATTTCTAATAAGAGATAAGAGATATGGTCTCTATGGAAACTAAAGGGTTAGGGGTAGTCCGTTATAAAGAAGAATTTAACCACCCAATTCTTAGCTGGTTAATATAATGAAACATTAATAGACTAATTAATTTTTGAGTTTACGTATTTATTTACGTATCTTTCAATATTGTTAATTTCTCCAAGCATTGATTATTTATTCCTGAACTACGTGTTATTGATATTTAAGATTTTTTTTTGAAGAGACAAGTTAGGAAAGGTTGATGGACAGTCGTCTACAATGTTCATCGAATCGAATAAAGCTCCATTAAATGATCATCATACCAGAATCTTAGTACTCGAATGAAGATTAGGTTACTTGCTCTGGTAACTGAAGATAGGGCATTCGAGTAACGTATCCTCGGACAACAAAAGGATAATGGAAATCAATTTACGTGTATTTGTAATGCACTCCAACAGACGGGGTCGCGAGTTTGCGTTATTCCGGTAGAGTTGTAAAATTTATGACGGGACAAGTGCGCGCCTCAGCTCGCTGATGCGAAATAGTACCGTGGGTAATGAACTCGTAGTATACGGTTAACTTACAGTTGAATGCCGAGCATTTGAAAAGAAATTACACGATAATTGTGCACCACTCCAACTACATCTGGCCGTGTTCTTCCCGAGAAACGGACATTACCATTTTAATCAGTTAATATTTCCTCGTGAAATTACTAATCTCGCAGATCTCGAGACAAAAGTAAGATAAGGGAGCAAGTAAGGTATAATTTCATAGCTATTCATTTATTATGCACGGTTCTTTATGCTACTAGTATGTTTGGTTAATTCTTCAGAAGCTGCTGCGAATTATAGTAGAAATACATCTGCTTACTTTTATTTAAGAAAAGGGTATTCTGCAAAGGAAAAATGACTGCATGTGTATGAAAAATGTTGGTCGTTCTCAGAGTAACTATTTATATGAATTTTGGTATTTTCGATAAACGCATGAACGAACTTTCGTTCAGTGAACATCTAATCATTTGTTTTTATTTAACCGTGGGTACCTTTTGCTATCCATCAGGTGCGTCATTAAGTGGAACAGCTAACTATAAAACTTTGACATTTCAATCGAGCTAGACGATACAGTTTCCGTTTGTTTAACGCAATTGAAACGACTGCAGGCGTTTAACAAGTGTCGCTTTAACTATTTACGTTCTTCCACGTCGTTCTACTCTCTGACATTTCGTAGAATGAAGTTTTTAGCAAACACGATTAAATACTCCCACTGCGTTTCGAGTCCACGAACAATTTTCTTCTTACCTCTTAATACCTCCCAACCCTTCGCGTTGTCCATTACGTTTCATCTGCAGGAACGAGAAGATCGGTCGAGTACTTTCAACCCTTAAAAGCTTCGAATGAAAAAGTTCGCCAAGAGTAAAAACTAACCTCGTGTAACTTGCCTGGAACATTTACTTAATAATTAATTTAAGGAATAGCATGAACGAGTACCTTGCAAAAACCTATCCTTAGAATGAGTCGACTGTCTCTAAAATGCCCAGACCTCGGGAACTATTTGAACTATTTAAATCAAATGATATGAGTTGATTAGAAATTGATTGAGCTTGCAGAAACATATCCTAAGAATGAGTTGACTGTTTCTAAAATGCTGAGACCATGTGAACTATTCGAACTATTTAAAACAAATTATGTGAACTAAGAAATTTATTGAGCTACTTTGTGATACGTGTTAGTTTCCATGTGAATATTTCCTTGAGACATTTGTTGAATTTATGAAATTTTCAGTCGAAGACACGAAAATGAGATTTAGCCTGAAGCCGCAGCCAGGGGAAAGCGGTTTCGTGCAATGGCTGGACGCGATGAAAATGGTCGCCAGGTTGCAGGGAGGAATACCACCGAAATTTCGAAAGGAGGTGGGTCGGTACGCGAAATTTTCGTTTGTTTTAAAACGTTATCCTCATTTTGGAATGTTTCGCAGTTATGGCTGACGCTGGCAGAACGTCATCTGGAGCAGCGCGGTGTAGATTGGAAGCAGGCTGAAAAGGTCTGCTTCAACGAGTGGAGCAATCCTGACGATGAAGAGCTCGGTATACAAATCGTTAAAGTAAGACTGTAAAACGTACATCCTTTTCACGATTGTTTTTCGCGAGCAGCGACGTCCTCGCGAATTTTTCATTCGTCCCGCTTCAATTTCTGCGTCGCTGCTTTTCTTCTTAATGTCGTGAGTAATAGGATTTTTCGTGAGGGTGGTCGATACAATTGAACTTGAGAGGTGTTAATCATTTTGAAATGCTTCTCGAGTCGCATGTCAGGGATAAATTGCGTCGTGGAAAATTTTACTCGAATACGTTCTATTTCTACTCGAAATTCTATATGAAACAGTGTTTACAGTCAATCCCGTAAATATTCGTACCCTTATGTCTATTGAAGATGTTTTACTAAATTAAATAATAGTTTTGATATTACCAAATGAATTTTTCATTGTAAATATGAATAAGAATAAGCATATGCATGTATATCATAATGTATCATCATTATGTATAATCATAAAGTGTACGAATATTCATGGGACTGATTGTATATACTCTTTCAACCGAGTACAAATCATTTACGTAGAAGTAAGAAATAAAATTGGCGCATTTGCATAAAATTTGCACGAAATTTCGAAGTGAGTGAATATATTAATCGAGGCAAGTGGAATATTTAATACTCCAGAAATACTCATCTAGCAGACTATACGTGTAGCTATCCCAGACAGCGCCAAATTATTCGACCAATTTCCAAGTACAGGACGAGCGATGCTCGGCAGAATTGGTGGGGTAAAGGGGATCTGAAAATGTCCTCATTCTTTCAAAGAAGTCGATTAAAGTTACTGCCTTCGTCTTGCATAATAACTCGTTGGCAAAAATGATCCGTGTGACGCAATCTCGGCTCCGCGACGATATCGCTCCTGGAACGGTCTCCGTTCGGTGTATAATTACGCGCAATTAAATTTGGATCATTAATCACTTCGACGCCAGGGCAATTAAGTGTCGCCGATGAGCCTTCCAATTAGATCCCTAACGCCCGCGCGCCTCGGCAAAGAAAGTGACCTTTAACGATACCCGCGGAGTCGCTTGAACCTCCCTGCTCTACTCGCCTAACCGTTTGCTACGTTCGCGGAGCGTAATTCAAGCGATGGCTCGCCGTGGCAAAATCCGATATCGTTGCTCTGGCCCTTTCAGGATTTACACAGGACAGGCTGCAGTCTATTTTGCGGCGCAGCTGGCAGAGACAATCAGGCGGTGCTTCGTCGGGTTCTACTTGGCTTCGCTCGATGGAACAAGTCCGTCGGCTATTGCCAAGGCCTGAACGTGCTGGCCGCTCTCGTTCTGCAAGTTATGGATCGCGCCGAGTCCGCCGCGGTGAAGGTGATGATCTACTTGATAGAAGGTGTCCTGCCCGAAGGTTATTTCGCAGACAATCTACGCGGCCTCTCCGTGGACATGGCGGTGTTTCGCGATCTCCTGCGCTCCAAACTGCCCAAGCTCTCGAAACACCTCAAGGCGCTGCAGAACGACGCGAAGGACAAAGCCACAGGTCATTCTTTCGCGAAAACCATTATTCTCGACGCGTCCACTCGAGCATTTTACCCTCGACGCCTGCTGTCGTCCAGCGCTGACGTTGGATATCCTTTAGGCATCGAAAAGCCGTGTGATATTTAGAGAATTTATCCTCGCGCTGTCGTTAGGGATTAGGTTTATCTTTAACTCTTTGATTGTCAAGAAGCGATATATCGCTGCTCGAAACTGTAAGTGCTGTAAGTCGTTAAAAAATCAATTTTGCTTTACGAAAATGACGTCAATATCCAATGCACATAAATTTATTTGTGCACTTCAAAAAATAACTGAAAAGATTCATTTTAACAGACAATAAATTACGTTTATTTACAAACAAAAATTCAAGTTCAAGTTTTTGTGAAAATATCTTCATTATGTAAAAATTTCATGAACCTTAAAATAAAATCGATCGAAATATATATTTTCGTTTACAATCATGCATCTTTGCTTAAAATTGTCTGGCATTTCTCGGATATGTATGAAAATTTCCTCTGGAAGAAAAGCACAAGGTAATCATAATACGGAGAATGGGATCTGTCTGAAAGATCTCTCGAAGCTGATAGCGATTGTCGAGAGTAAATCTTTCGAGTGGACACGTAGCATTAGCCTCGCTTTAAGTTTAGTAATCTTACGGATTTTTCGAATGGACGCATCGTTGCGTATCCAAGGTCTAAATAGTTAGGTATGAAGGAATCAAGGAAAGAATCGACTTGTGAGAGTTCCAGCCAGTTGGCCTCTGGAGAGGAATACTCCCTCCCTTACCGCCGTTGCTGATAAGTTGGATGCTTGGACTTCGACGGCAGACGTGAAAGTAGCGATGGGATGGAGCGTACTTTGAGCAGCCAGTTAATTTAACGCTAAAATAATAACCCTATAATTTACCCATCCATTCACTAACCTACACGAGTACTGTCAAACGTATCTCTAGAACTTGATACTCGACCAAATTATTTCTAATTCCGTCCAATTGTCCCTATCCAACTTTTGTTCTTGTTTAGGCAGCAGCTACGAGCCACCTCTGACGAATGTGTTCACGATGCAATGGTTTCTCACTCTCTTCTGTCACTGTTTACCCCAGGACGCGGTGCTCCGTGTCTGGGACTTGATATTCCTCGAGGGAGACGAGATCCTCCTCAGAACCGCTCTGACCATCTGGGAAGGGCTATCGGAGTAAGTAAACGATCGTGGGGGGTTTCGTAGGTTGCTTGGATTTGTTTTGCTAAAACGTCGTATCTTGCTTTAGCCGTATCATGACCGTGACGTCCGCAGACGAGTTTTATAGCATAATGGGAGTCCTGTCGAGGGAGATGCTGGAATTCACGGACACGAACAATCTCATAAAGGTTTGTCTGTTCCCTCGTTCGAGATAAATACCAGCTGACATGCTTGGCAGATCTGTACCGAGTGAAATTTTTACGTACGCGTTATTGCCGTAGAACATAGTCAGTATGGAACCATTGCATGGCGTGAAAGCTTTGAGAGAAAAGCACAGGTACAATATCACGCCGTGGGCTAGGAAGCTGAGCGACGACGACGACAGCGACACGGAAGAGGAGGAAAGGTTGGCCGTGGCCGCTGCCATGTTCAACATGGCACAAAGGCTGAAGAAAGGTAGGCATCAAAACATATGACAATGGAGGTTGTTGCGATTCTTATTTGTTTGCGTCACGAAAGACATGCTTGTAGATCGCATACCGCAAACGATTGGCGCCCTGCAGGCCATGGCGCCCAGCAGCGACCGAGAACGCCTCGCTCTGGACATTAGTATTTTGAAACAACAATACGCCAAACTGCGCGAACGTCAACACCAGGCTCACATTATACTTTCCGGTAAATGTTGATTGTAATAATAAGGTTAAACGTAATCGCTAAATTCGAAGGTACGGTAAATCACTGGACCTTCTCGAGTACGCTTCGTTGACTCGCGAACGACTATGAAAGCTTCGCGCATACTGTAAATCTTTCTATTCTATAGGAGTCGGGGAACTAGAATAAGAATTGTGAAAATATATTTGCTTGCTTGGAATAGAATGAGTGCAAAAATGCATAAATTCTTTCTTGACGCAGCCGCATGTGCAAGGCAGACCATGGTACCACCTCCTACTTCTCAGGCCATGAATCATCTTTTAGTGGGCAAAAATGCGCTCGTGAGCGGGAAGAATCGACCTCTGAGTCTACCTTCTGGCACCTCAGCGGCGAAGACACGACCTACACCTTTAAGTCAGAATCGTAAGGACAGGCAAGGCGTCACGCTCCATTGGAAGGACACGAAGAAATCGAAGCAGAAATCTTTAAATTCACCAGGTACAGACAAACTGTTGCAACCTGCCGTGGGTCTAAAGATCATGTACATTCGAAACGTACCGGGAAACGAAATCCAAACTTTATTTTAAACAAAGTGGTGTTCGCAAAAACAGGTCAAAAGTGTCCATCCTTGAGCGTCAAAGAATTATGATGAAATTTACAGGAGTTGAAGATTCGTATATTGAAATTTAAATGTTAATATATTAAGTTATGTTACTGTATTTCTATCCAGCACATATGGTAACAGTAGAATTCGTTTTGCACTGACTGTTGGTAAGAAAGTTGTATTGAATGCTGGTAAGACAGCGCGCTACCTACAGTCAGTAAACACATATCGTTCACTGGTATAGGAGAGTACCTACCTTACCAGATAAACTATGTTACCAATAGGAGCTCAAGAGATATAACTCTGAGCAAACACCTTGCTTGCATGAAACCACTTTCTAAACTCTACCGCTCGTTTCTAAAATTATATCAGCCGCACATTGCACCAATCGATTAACTCCATAAAACAGAAAGTTGAGAAATGTGGCGAAATAATGTACATTGTTTTTTAAAATTTCCTTTATATAAATTTAAAATAAATGTAAATTCAGTTAGTAATGTTACAATTTTTATGTAACAGGTGAATCGATTTGTGTAGTGAACTGCTCAAATATAAACCCAAGTCTCTTCGGAACAGTAGATTGAAATTAATTTGGAACCTCTATAATTTCACCAAAAAAGTTTCCACATTCCGAGAATGTCTATTCATTGATTTTCTATTCCAATTTGCCGTAGAAGCGGCAGAAGCCACCGTGGCACCGGTGCAATCCTCGGAAGCTGACCTAGCATCTCCAAAGCGCAGCAACGGTGACAGCGACAGCGACAGCACGTCGACGGAATTGTGCGACGAACCTGATCGTCTCAGCGACGTTGACAGCGAAGACCTCACGTCAGCGTCCGAGTCCTACGCCATGGCGACGGACGAGGACAGAAATTTTCGAGTAGGGAGTTCCCCGTTACCTGAGAAGACACTCGATCGTGCGTTGCCCGAAGACAAGAGTAACGCCGAAATATCACAGGACTTAAAGTCACCGGAGGAAAATTTGAGGGATATATCGATCTCCAAAATCACTGATCAGATACGAAGACTGTCGGCGGAGGATGACAATAATTCGATGGTTCCTCAGAAATTCAGTTTACAAAACAAAGAGACAGACTTGTCGACGAAAACGTCCCCTTTGAAGAAGGAGAAGTCCATACCTGATCTTGCTGTTGAATACACCTCGACTGTTGAAACTGTCAGGAAGTCCTTGGTCCTGGATGAGTTCGATTATCTGAGCTTCAGCAGCAGCAAGCTCACCTTGAAAGAAGAGGAAGTGTTGGTGCACGAAACGCATCGACCCAAGGAAATCGTAAAAGAAACAGCGATCTCGCCTCGCGACGATGCTGCGACGAATCAGGAGGATCGAATCGAAGATATCCCTTCCACGGTTATCCGACTAGACACTTCCACTGTGTTTCCAGAGTACTCGACAACGTTGGACGCGAAGTACGATAAAGTACCAGACAGGGTTACTCATGATTTAGAAACGGACAGTGAGGACCGTTACAAAACGTCCTTCAGTTACTCCAGCAGACTATCTTTGGACCCGAAGACGTACGACAGCTCAAAGATGGACATTTTGATTAGAGACGCGACGACGGTGGACATCGAGAAGAAACCCTACTGCAAAATGTACGTGGGTCATCTTCCAATCTCGCCCATAACAGTTGACCAGAAGCTGAGTCAAGTGACGCCAACTATTCACAGAACGAACAGTATCGTGGGATCGATAGCAGACGTCGATAAGGATGCTGAGATGTCGTTGGAGAACATGTACTTCAGTGAGAGGTCGCAGCCAGCGCAGACGAAGATGTATTCAGACTTGAAGAAGAGTCCCAAGACACCCGAGAGCAACAAGTCTTGCAGCTCTGGCGAGACCATGGGCCCCGACTCGAAGCCTTCCAGTTTAACGGTGAGCCCTAGGTCTCCTGCCAGGTCCGACTCGCGAGACCTGTTGATGGACAAATCGGTGTGTTCCTCGGTCAGTTCCGACTCGAAGACCCTGGTCTTCCGTTCCATGGACTCTGATGTCGCCAAAGATGGCGCGAGGAAGGCATACGAGAAATCTGGCTCCTCGACGCCCATCAGCATGGACTCGCTGAGGATCAAGTCGGAGGCGAGCCCTAAACTGGTGGTGAGCAGCTCCAGCGACTCATGCAGCCCAGGTAAACAAAAGTCTTCCGAGAGGTCGTTCAGTTCGGACCTTCAATCGCCAATAAGTGCCAACTCCATAAAATATACCTCGAATTACAATCGACGGGGCCAAGACGACGTGTCTGGCTCGTCGATCGACACAGCCACGTCGCCATTCTACCCGATCTCGAATCCCAATCAAAAGACTCCATCTCCGTACAGCGTCTCCAGGCGAAGGTCAAGCATAGACAGCACGGAAACGTCGCCTGAACAGAAGTCGACGAGCTCCTCGAAAGAGTCGACCAAGTATCTAGGCTACCAGTCCAAGTATGACTCCTCGTTGAAGTCTTCGGATGCCAAAGACACGGATGCCATCGCACTGAAAACAGAGAGCTACGTTAGTCGTGAATTTACAGCGAAGAAAGAGGAGTCTAGTCTGACGGAGAGGAGAAACGGTGACGATATTAGCTTCTATCAGCCGTCTGGTAGCGATTACTATCGCAAAGACAAGGATATCATCGACGACGGAACTGACGATCCTCTGTCGGAAAAGGACGTGGTACCCTCGCTGCCGCAGGAGAAACTGGACAAGCACTACCTGACCTACAATTATCGACACAGAGACCGGTCGAAAGTCTTGGAGAGGAGTTCCAGCAGTCTGGATAGCAGAAGATTCGGTGACTTGAAGTCGTCGTTGTCAACAGACGAGTTCAACACTTCCGTCGCTAAGAAGAGGTCCAGCGACATCCTGGAGGACATAAAGCACCTGGAGGCCAAGGCGAACGACGTATCCTCCGACAGTGGAATGTTAACGAAGAAGAGTAGCTACATCTGGGAGGACCTGAAGAGCCTGGAGGCCAGGAGGCAGGACACGTTCAGTAACTCCGCGAGCAACTTCTCCAAGCGTCGTCTGGAGATACCCGACATAAACGTGAGTGGCGAAGGCATGAAGTCCTACGGGATTCATCCTAAAATCAATATCGACGAGGACAGCGACAGTATCCTGAAGACCGTGGCACGCAGCCAGAACAACGGCGACTCGGATGATGGAAGAGAGTCGAAGTTGGGGGTGTGGACGAAGGTGAAGCCTCGCAAGAAGGGTAACAACGGACGCAGGAACAGCGACAGAGCATTGAAGATCATCCAGGAGAATTCTGCCATACTTCAGAAGATCCTCGCTTGTCAAGCCAAAAAACGATTGCCAGATCTCGAAGAGATATCAAAGGAGATCACCATAAGCCCCATAAACGAGGAGATCTCGAAGATCTTCAGTCCCATACTGGAGAAAATGGGACTCAACGAGCACGAAATCAACGAGGAACTGGCGAGAATCAATTTCAAGGACTTGGACAACATGACCGCTACCAGCGTGTCCGAGTTCGACGCGAAGATCAACGAGGAACTGTCGAAGCTCTCGCTGATCGACGAGACGGAACAGATAGACCATTTTGTCCTGGATGAAGGCATATCTCACGAATACTTAGACACCAGGGAAGCTCTCATAGACCGCAAGATAAACGAGGAGCTATCGAAACTGTTATTGAATTACGATGATCGTTCGCCAGCTAGCATCTCGAACTTGGACAAGGGATCCAGTCAGAACGTCAGCGAAATCGACGGACTCGAGTTGTCCAGCATCTCTACGAACGTGTTCTCTTACCAGTCGTCGAACGATTCCATCGATACTAGGAGCGAGCTGGGATCCACGCAGGAACCAACGATCTCAGGCGACAAGTTTTCCCAATACACCAACAAGATGTTGCCCTACACAGTGTCCAAGTACAGAGACGACGACTCGTCACCAAAGAGCGACATCGATATCTACAGGGAGCTAGAGAAGCTGGACAAGATCTCCTCTGCTCACGTCCTACCAGACGACCCCGCTCTCGATCTTCCTCAGAAGGAACTGACCTCCATTCCCTACGTCCCCAACACGTCACCTTTCAAGGACATATCACCGTTAAGGTACGCCGCTAAGCCAATCCCATACGAAACCTCGCCTATGAAAAGCTCTTACGATCCCTACAAACCCTTCAAGCCCAAACTGTCGCCCAAACACGGATCGACCAACCCGTTCGTGGCAGTCTCCTACGAAAAGCCCATCATAGACCCTACTTACGAGTACATCAACCACAAGCCGGATGTCTCGATCAACGCTTACGATATGCACTTGAAGAGCCCAATGATGACGAAGGAGTCGCTGGAATTCCGCGTGAGATACGACAACGAGTCTAACAGAGAAGTCAGCGCCGACTATATGTCCCTCCAGCCAGACAGGTCGATGACCAGCTCGAACAAGTCTCCTTATTATAGCAATGGTAACAGCGAGCCACTAACGCCGACTAAGTACATACCCAAGGAGGAGAGGTGCCTGGACACCAGCTCCTTCTTGGAGTACTCCACCGAATCTTCGGAACTCTTTCGTCGCAAATACGAAGCACTGTCGCCCAAAGAATATTCTCACGAGAGCATAGACTACGATCGACGCTTAAGCACGTTGCCTTCGCTGGACCAAGGTTCAGAAATAGGCTCGTATTTGCCAACGAAGCGCCTGGACTACCTGCCTTTGTCACCCAGTCGTCAGTTCACCGAGCAATCTTTCCCATCTGCTACGAACCACTACGCCTCGAAGCTGTCTCCGGCCATGTCTGACGAGACCAAGCGACCCGTCTCGCATCCGGAGTTCCCTGGCAAGCTGACAGTGGGCAAGTACACGGAGCTAGATAAAGAAAGCTCCAGTTACCAGAAGTCCTCTTTGAGTCTAGGTAACATCGGACATTCGAGCAAGGGTGGGGAGAACAATTATAACCCCCTGACCAGCCCCAAGTCGCAGTTCAGCCCGTTCCCGATCAGGAACGCTCCTAGGAAACCCAAGGAGCTCACGCTCAAGCTGGGCCTCTACTCGCCGAAGGATCCTGACGCGGGACAGCTGAAGAGGTCATAGTGCAAGACGACAAGAACGATCCGTATCGAGTTCATCCTGTTGGTTCGTTTCTTTTGAAGGAACAAACGTAAGGGTTAATGTTGATTCCAGTATTAACGAAACGGGCCTAAGTCGTCGTTTCTAATCCGTGAAGCCCGACGTTGCTACCAGTCGAACCTAACGCTAGAATTGTAAGACGTACAGTGATAGCGGATGACTTGATATCGACCGTGGTAGCTACGAATGCGTTTTCGTCTCGCACAAGCAGAGGAAAATGTCTGAGTGCTTCTGTTCGCGTGAATCTTTCCGGTGGCAGAATTATTTGCAAAATTTTGTTAACAGTGCACAGGCTGAAAGTAAGAGAATATTTTATGGAAACGTGAGAACGTTTTCGATACGTAGGAAGACTTTGGAAACGTCGCGACGGAAACATCGCTCAACAAGATCAACGTTAAAGACGATTCTCACGTACTATATCGCATACTTCCCCCTCGTCCCAACTAGCGTTAATCATTATCTCCGTTTTTCCGAATGTTTATAGTCTATGAACGTTGACTAATTACGAACGTTTTTTACGAGCTCTGCTTGAAACGGCTTCGAAACTCCCTCGCGCACGAGTGAGAGAAAGAAACTGCTTACGGAAATAATAGCATTTAAATATTAAAGATCCTGCGCGAAACGTACACACACATACACACACGCGCGCGCGCGCGTGCACATACTTGCAATTTCTAATGCGATGCCTTCAATCTCCCTCCAATCTCGCAAAAGGAAACCTCGTTATCGCGTCTCGATTGTTCGGTAAGTTGCGATAAGTAGCCTCGATGCGCTCGCGAAGCCTAGACGACGAAGCGAAGAAAAGTCAAGACAAGTCATTACAAAATGCCTTTCGTTCCGCGGTTCGCTTTGCCACGGTTATCTCGCGTGCGACCGTAAATCACGACACTTGGATCGCGAGACCACCGCAACGTGAAATTTCCATCGAAGAGACACGTTCTGTCAGGCCAGTCTCCAAAGAATTTAATGATGCAATCGTTGGGTGTAGACATTTTATTGCTTTAACTCTTTGAAGTTAGGTGAATTAAAAACTATCTCACTTTTTGCTTACCTTTACTATTTTTCTTTTGTAATCGCGTGCCTCAAAGAATTAATGAATGGTAGGGCATTTCATTCTACAGGAAAAAATTCAATGAGGGATGCGATGAGAGAAGCTGCGGAGGGTGTGTTTTCAGTTTAGTTCAAAGTTTTTAACTTTACTATAATAAGTGAGTTAAAATTTCCAATACTCCTGATTTCTGTATCATTCTTAAGTCGGCGTTTAATCTCTGGAGACTGGCCTGTACCGCGGGCGATTGTACGAAATTATAGAAGTTGTTGCATGTAGCAGAGTCGCGATAGAGTTTAATTTGTTCGTACGTTTGCGCAAACATAATCGCGCAGAGGTCTGCAACCGTTCGAAGGGGGGCAAATGACGTGCCATTACGCGGCGCGTGCACGAAAGGGGAGTGACAGACAAACAAAAATTGTAAATAACTATAGACGTTAATTGTATATTAACAAAACCAAAAACTTAAGAGTCGCTCGAGATCTTTTTATATAAAATAAAAGTAGTATTTTTAGATGTTTCTAATAAGAAGATAATCCTCGTGTTATCATCGTCATTACACGTGTACGAGCTTAGCCAAGCTATGCTTATCGTAAGAACGTCGTTCTTCTCGCAGATCTCTTCATTCCTGATCGAAGATGATCGAAAGTGTCACGCGATCGAGAAAAATGATAAGAATTTGCAGCAATCGTGATTAATTGCGATGACTAATACGTTGGTATGCGCCGAAGACACGAACTTGAGGAAACTGTATCGTATCGTTTATCTTGTTTCAGCATCGCATTTGCATAGAGATGAATTGTTTCATAGCACTGAAGATAATCGATAATCTGCATTCGGAATACATTGATCATTGGAACGATTAAATTCTTCAAATCAAAGAAGAATCGAATATAAAAATTAACTTACTTATTTTTAATGAGTACTATATATCATTCGAAGATTCTATCACGAATCACGTAGCAGTTTTTACATACTATTGGTTCATTCAACTTCAAGATCTTTGTTAGAGAAAAGCACAGAAATTGACAGAGTTTAAATTTCTAATAAATTTCAACGAAATTATAGAGATTGCATTCCACATAGATCATCCGTAACTTATCTCCATTGGCTTGCATAGCAAATCAGGCGTCAGAAGATCGTTACGTCCAATTTACCCAGCGGCAGATGGATTCGTCAATTCGTCACCGAGTGCATGCAGATTTTTATAAGTCCCGTTTAGGCTCGAGCCAGTCCACTTGTTCCGTAGGAGAATACAAGAAAACGACGAAAAAATTTCCGAAGTAGCTGCGTTTAATGTGCCTCTAATACCACCCTCTATCAAGATGAAATTCGATGAAATTGCAACGACGTTCGGGTATTCTCAGCCAGAATTGCGCTACGGTTCGATGAAAATCAACTGGCCAATTCCCTTTTCAAAGGAGACGTCGTCAACTACCTCTTGTTTTCTTTGTTGGACGGGTACGTTCGGCATCATTGTTCTAGGTGAGATTTTTTGCGCGTGTACACTGGCTTATGCGCAAATTCCCAACTCACCGCGATGAAATATCAGAGAATACAGTTTCCATGAACATCGAATACGTAGAATCCCGCACGCGAAGCTTCTGCAGCAATTTTGCATTCGTCTGAACGATCTACCTTCTCTCCCGCGTATGAAATCGTCAAATAGTACATGAACTAGGTACAGTGAGCAACGAAAATATTCGCATAGTGCATACAATCCGATTCCTCGTTTTGAAACGTTGTCATTGAACATATAAATAGCATTCCATCTTGTCTCGTACGCTGAATTTAATTCAGAATTTTTTACAAAAATATTTGAACAATCAAAATGGAGTTATGATATCGAAAGGAATGTCCTGGGGATGAATGGAAAGGCAAGGCCTAATTTATTTGAAACATGTGACTTTTGTATTTTTTCTTCCGTCATGAAACGACGGTTCCAAACGTTACTGTAAGAATATTTCCGTTGCTCTCATTGTTTACGACTTCTGGCAAGATATTTTCGTGGAAACGAGACGAAAATGCGAGGAATCGCCGCGGACTCGCCGTCACGTTCTTCCAGTGACGCGCGGCCAAATTCAGTGAACCGGATCATAGGTTCGGAAGCCTGTGAGGAATAGAAAGTATTCGTAAAAGGTGCTTTAACGAGGCAATGGCGCGTTCCACCCGAACAAAGGTGAAACTACCTAGACGTAGGCTAGCTGATAAGGAATCGACGATAGCGTTTGTTCGTTGTGTGTCGTAAATGGATCGTTTTTGAAAACCAGCATGAACGAATCGTCAATGAAGATCTCCGCTTTCGGTTCACGAAACGTTCATTAATTCGGTTCGATTCGGTTCCAGGCAACTTCCCCATCATGGTCGGACAATACATTAATATATTCTCCGTTCGTTTTCGTTTCCTTTAATTTTCTTGGTCTTCAACCGTATACCTAACGCGGGGGGACGAGAGTGTTTTCTACAGGGATAATCGAAGACGAGGGGGGACGAGTCGCAATAATTTAAGGGAAAACGAGAGCGTCGAGTGCGCGTCGTCGTGACGAGGGCACACGCGAATCCTATTAAAGAAGTCATTTATAAAGAAACGTTATATTTACAAAAGTGTGTGTATGAAGTTGTTACGTGACGTTTTTGTGAGAGTTGTTGTAAATACCTGTCGGTACGAGTCATGCCAGATATAAGACTGTATATTTGAAGAACATAGAAGTATAAGTCGTTACGAATAAATAAACTGAATAAATATATTGGGAGAGAAAGGGTTGCTTCAATCATTCCCCCAGTCCTGGAAGGGTTCTCTGATTCATGATTTAGTAAAGTTCGAGGGATCCAATATTCAGTAAGATTCAGATATTTCAAACTTCGATTATATCGCTAAAAAAATTCGGTAAATATTAAATATCTATCCTAAAGTTCATCAGCAGTCTAAAATCGGCCGTTGAGATAGAGTAAACACTTCTACAGCCAAGGAAAGATCGATAAAATAATAAAATCAATCAGCGGTTGTCGCAAAAATTCCAGAGTCCTCATTTTCGCGAGAGCCTCGATATCTTGTGCTCGAGTGGACATTTCATTTCGTTAACACGATTACGCGTATTCGCGCGATGTGGATTGCGAACTCATTTTAATTGGGATTACATTTCAATTAAAACTCCGTTCCCATTAGGCGGAAGCGTTGAGTTTTGGAGAATAATTGATACGAACAACACGTTATCCGATTGCGAGGCTGGATAAAATATGCATATTTGCCAATCAAAAGGTGTCCAGGTTACACACCTGCCCTGTCCTCTGTCACTCTGTATAAATATGGGATTAACCGGCGCCCCAACAGTGTTACGTATGTGCAATTGTGCACACGTCTGGCACGCGAGACGTAACTGGCAAACACCGATACCTTTGAGTCGCTACACGATGAAATTTTAATGATCTGCAAAATCGGAAGCGCTATCACCTCTGACCCGTCCCTTGAGCTCCCTTCATTATTACTTTGTTTAAACTTTGTTTGCTTCCGAATGAGTATCTGTTGCTACAGCCTTATGTAACGCCACGTTTTCCAACATTTATCCAGAACTTCTTTCATAATCAACCGGACAATTCGACCGGCATAAATTAAACGTCTTTCGTGGAATGTTACGGTTGCAAATAACATTTTGATAATAAGCTTACTACAAATGTAAATCTGAATATTAACTCTCTATATTGTCCTTGTCTCGGTGTCATAGGTCTTACCTTTACTGTATTTCTATTCTTTTAGACGTATACGTTTTAATTATATAATGTCTCTGATAACCAATAACAATATCGATAACGATTAGCAACGCCATCAATCTAGAATATCAAAATGATTGCCTTGCAAGTTGTCTGCAGAAACAAAATTCGGTCCATAGAGAGTTAAAAGTGCAACTCGAACTGACTCCATGCATCTCGTTTTAATTACCCACCGACCACGAAGCGAACCAATTCCTAATCGTCGAAGTGCAACAAACACGTAGGTGCGGAATTCCGATGAATAAATAAAAGCGCCGCAAACGAGTCAACCGGTAGCATTTTTTTCTACGATCGTAGATTTGCATGGCAGAGTGTCGAACGCGTCCAAATCCGTTCCATTGAATTTATTTTTTTAACTGAATCCATGATCACCACGACCGCTTTGAGAATGTCGGGCTCGCTCTGACGCGGTCCCAGCAAAGGACACAGAAGTTTAATAAATCCATTCAGCGCGTTTAATACGTGCACCATATGCACCCGTCGCTTATTGCCGACGCAACATATTCAGCAATTTGTCCATTCGATGAGATATCCGGCCAGCAATTTATCCGTTTGGCAAAATGACAATTCGACAGTTTGTTCTGGCCGTCGATCCGGCATCGTCACATCCGAGCTTCGCGACTCTTTCGTTCGATATTTTTTACTCGCACACAAAGTGCTTTATATCACTTTCATATTTCTTTTTCCTCACATAAGGCATTCCAACCAATCGCGATAATAATCGACGAGATTATCGAACCACAGCTTAAGTACCCACTTGCAATGTACATTTCTCGAGTTCGGATTCATTAACTTCGGCCAGATGACGTAATTTCCAGGGGAACTCGACGGGAACAGCAGCTCGCTCCAAGAAAATTTGAAACGTCCTCGAGTTTGCTCGCGTCGCAAAGTCGGGGCTCCAACTTCGACTTCTATCTGGTTAAGAAGACAAAAGGAAGAACGCATGGTGTGGAACGGCGAAGCAAGAAGTCCGAGAGTCGGGAAGTAATGGTAAAATGGGAAAGATGGTAAATGGCGGCGGTAAGAAAAATAAGAGTGAGTTGCACGGAACGCCGCAAAGAATGAAGATATGAAAAGAGGGGTGGCTAAGACAAGAAGCAGAAAGCAGAGTCCACGGAAAGACGGTCACAGAAGACTGTGCACGGAAATGAAGGTACGTAGGGTAATATGTACCTATCCCGTTATGGAAATGAGCGCGACCCGAGGCGCGTGTGGGTGTGTTTGTGGACGCCCGCGCGCCCTACCTAGCTAGAGACATCCATTGCATCCGTAATGTCGCTGCCACGCTCTCGACTCTTACTTCTTGTCCTCATATTGCTTCCACTGACAATGCATCCTCCGAATCCCGCGTTACACCTAAGAATCTTATCACGAAATCGGAATAATCGAACGAGACGTGATAGTTCTTGTCGCGGGGAATCCGTGATTTCAGATTCAGGCTGCGGTTAGATCGAAAGAACTTAATGGCGCGTCTTTGTCACGTTTGATTTACTACCAAAAGATTTCAAAACCTTTCCTGTATTCTGGAACGTGACGTTGCAACAAGAAAACTATCAAGAATTTTGCTTATCGAAAGATAAAGTAACATCGATTCGCGAGTATTTTCAACGTTGCCTTCTATGAACAAAATAAATTGTTTTCCTCGTCGAAACGTTCCGATAAAAGAACCGGATTTCAAAGAATTCCACTTAATCGATTTTAAAAGATTTTGAAATGTACATATTCGAAAAATTTGTAAACGCAGTATTTCCAAGGTTTGCAGTGCAAAATATTTATTGAAATTTAAAATATAACAAGCATCTAACAGGGGAGATTATTACAATAAATGTTTGAAATTGTTTAACCTGGTTGTGGGTAAATCCCTTCAGTCTCGAGCTTTGCATTTCATTTGTTACACTTTTAATTTTTATGAAACTGTTGATTAAACCTACGAATACCGAAAGTCACGTGCTTTTTTCGAAGCAACCGATCGATAAATCCGTGTGATATAAAAAATAAAAAAGTGTAGGAGAACGAATATCGACGCAGCGGTTTCGAAACTGATGAATAACAGATTTCTGGGAAATTCCCTGTCGAAATTATATGGTTACAAAGGGATGCGATTTTCTCGTCACGGGGACTCGAATGGTTTGCGAGATTGACTGTTTGTAACAATGGCGTCGATTTTTCTGGTGACAAATCGAAGAAAATTACCGGTCCGACGCAGGACGCGCGTGTGGGTGCGCATTGAAATTCCAGCAATCCTGTAAAAATCGGGTTTGCAGAGACGACCAGACTCTGGGAGCCGGAATGCGATTGATCTGCATTGTAATGGGAAAATTTGGAAGTGCGCGTACTTTGGTCTTCCCTCGAATTACCAAACCATTTTCGAGGAAATTTCGAACAGAAAAATGCGGTTTGCCGAATGAAGGGAACGCGTCGATCTGCATTTTAATTCGAAAATACACATGGGAGACCATCAGCAATGTTGCAACGGAATGGATGAAATGGTTTCACTTGCGATGGACGGTTGGGAAAAGTTGAGCATAGTTTTAGAAAAACTCCATCGACCATCGAAATTCATACCTCGCCGTCTCACGTGTCCGTGTAAATTTTCGATTCTATAATTAAGCACTTTAGTTCGGATGAAAAAATTTCTAATTACTCCAGTTCCGCCTCGCTCGCTCGAGAATCGACCATTAAAGTCGCATTACGTGCAATGTTATCTCGATCGGGGAATTACATTTTTCGAATAATTGTTACATTACTTTTTTAATTGGATGCACGCAGAAAATATCTCTGGCACTCTGCGAAACCGAAAAGCCTCGCATTATTTGGAATATTTTCTCACTGAACGCAGAATTACGTGCCGTGGATGATTTAATTACCATTTTCCTCGATTACATGAAAATTCACTGGTAACGCTATCTTTCGAGACGATAAAGATGGCGATATCAGTGAAGTTTTACTAGCAATTCTAGATATATAATATGAGAAAATATACTTTTAATACGTGTATAAAAAATTCTTCTTAGACGTCGTATATCAACAAAAAAATTTCCAAAGTGTGCTACATTTTTCCTTTCAAAATTGAATGAAAAAAAATTCGAATTTCGTAGACGAATTAAATTTTCTACATATAGTCAGTTTCCTAAATATTCGTACCCTCTACGTTTATTAAAAATGTTTATTTAAATTAAATAATAGGTTCTATGTTTTCAGATAAACTTTAAACTTGTATATATATACAGTGAACAATTTATTTGGAATAACAATTTTCATAAACACAGAGGGTACGAATGTTTATAGGATTGACTGTAACTGTTACATTATATTTTTAAATGTGCGTCCGAGACAAATAATACCCGGCACTGTACGTCAACCGAAATGTCTGGGGCTATTCAAAATATTTTCTCAGAGGTAGCAGAATAACGCTCAGCGAATGATTTTGTCCTATTCACGGAAACAGAAGCAGAGAACGTTACAATGGAGGCATGAAAGTTACAGGGGTATCGATCAAAATCAGGAACATCGCGTTCCATCCTGGCAATATCTACTCGTAATGAATTGATGTTGAATTTATGGCAACGAAGTATACACGACTGCGTGCGCGCGCGTTACACAGGTCGTGCCGTCGTCTAACTGGAATTATGCAATCAAATGACACAATGGTTCAACTATTATGTATCAGGCAAGCGACCAACTTCCCCGCAATGAATGCAACGGTGACAATACCAGACCTCGTCTCTTCTCCTGTCTGGCACAGCGGTGGAACGCTCGCGATCGTTGGTATCGCCCAATTCTCATGGATAATAATTGTCGCCCCGAAGGCATACGCTGTAATGGCGAACATTAAAAATCACCCTGACAATGAAACGTGTCCGACACACGCCTATCGCTTCTGGACTCGACTAGATTCCGATAACGAAGGTTTTTGGTTTGGTTTTAAGGAGATAGATACACGTAAAAGAGGATCAGAAAAATATGTAACATACCTGGATAAACATTTGGAATATAGTGCTGTCTATTTTAATACTTTGCTGAATAATTTTGAAGATTGTTGATCTAAACCTGCGAGCAGCTCTAGAGACCCCATTGGAGTGCAGAGGGTTAACATAGAACAGGGATCAACCATTTGGAATGTTGCAGCTAGGGATTCGAATAGGAATATTTCGTATTCCGCTCTAACTAAGCGTGCTATCTAAGCC